AGAGAGAGTCACATATAGAGTTCTTCATTATTTATAATAAATTAAAAAATAAGTAATGATTCGTCAATAGGATCTTAAATTGTCTTTGACAAATTGAGTGTTTGATGATAGAATATGAGATATTTATAAAAGAGATTTACATAAAATATATTATGTTTTTAAATTGTTGATTTTATAGAAGATTTCTCTCTGTGTATAATTACAAAGAAACTTTTCTATATAATTGGATTCTGTGTATAATTAAATTTCATTGTATGAATTTACTTTGATTTACAGAAAAATGATTTTATAACAATCTTCAACTGTTATACAATTGAAGCTTTTAAAATCAATTAATGTCTGAAAGTAGAAAGTAATTCATAAACTTTAATATTATATAATATTTAGAAGAATTACCTTACTTCTAATCTTCTATTTTATATAATTTTAAAATAATTCCTTAATGACGCAGTTATTTTTATATAGACGATATAATCCGTTATACGTAGTAATAAATTACAGTTATTAACTTTTATTTTTTTTTTACATTGTTTTTATTATTAATGTAATCTTGATTCTTTTAAAGATTTTGTAGTTGCGTAAGGCTATTAATTATACCGAGGACATTATTAATTCAAAATTATGACAGAGAAGAGGAGAGCGCGATGCACGTATAAATTTAGGCGTAAGTAGTTTCAGACACGTGTAGTCAGACGTAGGTTATTGACTTCAATATTGAACGCGGAGATGCTATGTTTATAAGCAGTTACTTATGTCGCTGGCCAAAGCTATCTACAATGTAAACTCCTAGAAAATCATATTATACAATATGATAAATGCATCAAAATAATTTTATTTAAATTATATAACAGATTTTCCAGTCACATATTTTAAACGAAATTTATGCCGCAGTAATAGATCTTTATCGTACTTGTTTGTCGTGTTTTCTATCATTATGTCGATTGATGGATTTCAACGCGATGTTTAAAAACATTTTACAACAGGATGAATCCGTCCCTGACATGGATGCTAATCATCTTGGCGAAGGGTGTCTGAAATTGTCGCCCCATAGCGTAACTCCCGAGCTCAGCAACCCCTACGATTCACCCTAACGGCTCGCTTAACCAAACAACCTTGATAAATTATGCAAAAATCAACAACACTAGGAAATGCATCTCCCATGCTGCGGCTGGGACGACACGAGTCTCATGTTAAGGAATTCCAAACCTTTCCGCTTTTGATTTTTTTTGAGTCAAACAGAATAGAATGTGAGAATAATTTCATTTCATAGATATATTCGAATTAATGAGTTATATAAATACGTTACATTGCAATAAAAAATAATAAAAACTATTAATAAACTGTTGTGAATAATGTGCCTATATAGTACAATTCATTTTAGTTAATTATAGGAATAGAAAGGAGTTAGGTATAGTAATAGATTTTCAGAATAATTCTGTAGTATAAGTAGTCAGTTAAAAGTTAAAAGCGTATTACAAATAATAATTCCGCAATTCTCTGTGATTACATTTTTTCATCGATAAACTCGTCTAAAATTCGATGTTCATCGAATAAAATTATCCGTTCGTGGGGAAAGCCATGAACGCGCTCGTACTTGCGCACGGAAAAGCGAGAATACACGTAAAATTAGTTTACAACCCTTTACAGAATAGCCGCTACATTTCGCGTATTTTATTAAAAAATTCTGTCGAAATATGATTTTATTACGGTACACACGGCAGCTATGTTTCGCGTTAAAGGCTTTCGTGTCATTCGTGTATCGACGCGCCGTAACGCAACGCAACGCGTCGCGACGCGACGCGACCCGTCAAATCCGCGAACCAATAAATGAATATAACCCACGCGTGAGAATAAAATCCGTCGCTAAACTGCGCAACAGGTGTTAGAGGTTATTGACAATCTTTTCATCAGGGGATGACGGTGTTTGTGTGATATCTCGTCGAATATTGGCGCCGACAATTTCCCAGCGCACAAAGTCCGGCCCGGTTCGCTGTTTATTAAACCAGATGTCATTTTTTTCATATTCAATTCTCTCTCTGCACTCTGTCGGCTCTGCCGGATTCCGCCTCGGCACGAATGCAAAATTAGAACAGTTCATCGTATGTCGACAAGTATGTTAATAATTTTAATTTTTGTCGATGCACGTATTGTCGAGATTATTGGAGAGTGTAGCAATCTATCTTAATTTATCACAAAAAGAAAAACAGATTTATACTGAATACAGATTTATATCTAAATATACTATAAAATTGTTTTACAACACGTAAAACATCCTTTTGATTAT